TTCTTTGCAACACTGAAATAGAACTTTTAACTCAGAAAATTCCTTCTCTGTGATCAGTGAATCACTCTAAAACAGTATGAGATTACAATTGTGTTCCATTCTAAACTTAGAAAATAAACAAGCAGAGAATGTTTATTTTTACCAACCAGAAAATGACTGAAGATATTAAATCTGTCTGATTGCAAAATTAACAAATCACTCTTGAAATCATCTCTCTCTCTTTTACTTTTCAGGCAGAATATCAGAATTGTATTAGCTTATAATTCTCCTTAGGAGAATTCACTAATGATTACTCTATCCTACCACTACAGAAGACCTCTCACAAAATATCGTCTATCAATCAGCCTAATTAAGGTCATATATCAGTGAGTACTTAATGAATTACAGTGGCAGATTGTTTTTAAAGGCATCAATAAATGCTCTCATGTTTATTTTTTCAAACTTCTATATACAAGTGTCCTCATAAACAGTACAGGACTATAGGAAAATATATCCTAAGAAATCCAAAGCACCAGTCAGAAAGACTGTATGCACTGCTGTTTATAGCAGCACAATTTACAATAGCTAAGATATGGAAACAGCCCAAGTGCCCATCAGTAGATGAGTGGATAAAAAAGCTGTGGTAAATTTATACCATGGAAAGCCATGCAGCAGTTAAAAAAAAAAGAAAGAATCTCTTACCCTTTGAGACAGCATAACAATAAAGAATTATAAAAATAAATAAATAAATGAGATGAATTTTTCACAAGGAATTGATGTGTTTAAAATAGAAAAAAAGAAAGAAATGTGGCTAATCTAAGTAACAAAATAAACTGATGAATGGAGGGAATCCAGAGATATGGAAGCATGGAACAGACTGTGGAATCTCAGAGGGAAGTTGGAGGAGGTCAGGTGGGTGGGAGATAATCCACCAAAGAACTTGTGTGCATATATGCATAACTCATGGACACAGACAATAGGGTGGTGAAGGCCTGGAGCTGCGGTGACTGGGGCAGGCTGGAGGGAGTCAATGGAGGGAAAAGGAGGACATACCTAATACTTTCAATAATAAAGAAAACAGC